TTAAAGAAATAATTGCACCTTCATACAGTGGACTGGTATTTGAAAAGAATACCAGAGATAAAACTATATACGCTGACATAAAGAGATGGCCACAATGTAGTTTAAGAAGTGAGTCTCAGAACAATACAGATAATATGAACTTTTTCATTAAAAATCTATATTTCTATATGTATAAAAAATGCATGTAAGGATATATATGAAATTGGAATTTCTGGGAAATACTATTTGGGGTTATGGGCAGTGGGGTGGCGGAGACAGACAAGGGAATTTAATAATTTATTTTTACTTTATAATTTCTGAACTATTATATGTCCTGCACTTAATTATATATATATTTAGAATGAGCATTTATTGCCTTAATAAGGCAATAAATAATTAACAAAAAGAACCACAGTTTTCACTAATCTGTCTTTTGGAGAAGACAGACATGTTGGAGGCAATAAGATCATTACTAATGTTTGGTTTCTTCTTGGAGAATTATGGATACCCAGAGTGGTTCCTGGATTTGTTTAAGTGCTCTTGGGCCACATGGGAAGACTTCTGAAAAGAAATCCTAAGAATTTTCTAATGAACTATATATGGGGACAGCTCTGCCTTAGGGGACACTCTTTAGTAGAACAAAAGCATATCTAAACCAAAGATATGGCAGCATACACAAGGAGAGAGATGAGGAGGCAGTTAGAAGCATGCTTCATGAGTTTGCTTTCATGAGAAAGCAGGGAGCATATTTGTCCTGTTTGTCACTGTATACTTAGGACATAACCCCCAATACTTAAACATAACCCCCAATACTGACACTTAATAGTTTTAGATATTTGTTGAATAAAGCACTATTGTTTATTAATAAGCGAGGTGACATAATGGTTAAGAATTGGACTCTACTGCTTAACACTAGTGCAACTTTAGGCAAATAACTTATTTGTGTCTTAGTTTTCTCATCTGTTATCCCATCTAAAATGCTTAGAGGAAATGAAGGACTAACGGAAATAATTTTTTTCATTACAAAGCAAGTGCTCAGTAAATATCAACTATTTTAACACCTAAAAATGCTTAGAGCAGTACCTGGCACATAACAAGAACATAGTAAATATTATCACTTTAATTTTTATACTGATAAAAAAATTTCTAATTTTAAAAGTTTAGACTTCTGAGTATAGATTTTCTTAAAACCACAGAATATCTGTACTTAGTAAGTCAGCTGTCTAGTAGCTTTTCCCTCTAGGAAAGTATTTGAACGCTTGAGTGGAGACTTATTAGGGACAGTAAGCGAGCAAGGAGAACCAATTGTGTTCAGTGTTAACAATGTTTTAGATTTTTATTTTTGCAATACAGTAGTTGGATTCTAAACATAGTGTTTCTATGATCGTTGCTTTTGTTCTAGATGGTAGTTCTTAAACTTTGGTGTGCATACGCATCATTTGGTAGCTTGTTAAACTACTGATTGACTACCTCTGTCCCTAGGTAGTTCTGGGATGGGCCAGAACTTTATTAAGCTCCACTGCTGATTCTGATGCAATACCAAGGTCTAAGGACCTGTGATCTAATAAACACAAATTGGTTAAAATCAACAGCTGGTATGACCATGTGGCAGCATCAGGCTCAGCAGGACTATGTTGGGAGTTGCCTTCTAGAAAGGGCTCTAAGAGATTGGTCTCTAGAAGATGCCCCTGTGGCTGGAAGTATCCTCTGGGACTTTTGTTACCTCCAGGAGAATCCTAGAGACAACTGACTCCATCCTTAACAGGAACAACTCCTGAGAACTGGTTCTGGGCTTGTTGAGGGAACTCTTGCTAAGGGATATGCTGTAAATGCAATTAAGAATCCTTGCTGGAGGCCCTGCCCCAAGTAGCAGCAGGTAATAGTGGTTCTTCTCAAAGTGGGGCCCTAGGATCACCTGCCTCTAGAATCACGTAGAGTTTGTTAAGTGCAGATTCCTTGCTCCTACTCCAGACCTATTGAATCCGGATCTGCATTTTAAACAAACTTCACAGACTTTTCTGTGGCATGCTAAAATCTGAGAACCACTGACTGGAGGTTGAGATACCAGTGTGTCCCAACTGCCTTCTGGGGTGGAGTGGTGTTTTTGTTTTGTTCTGTCACACTCCCCTTCCTGGCAATCTGGCCAGGTTGGAGGCCCAGACATTCTGCATGGAACCTCAGACTGATTTCTCAGATCTTAGGTGGTCACTAGCTGTCAAAGACCAGGTGGAGGGTATAACCCAAAAAAGACTTTTGTAAATCAAAGCATAACTTTCTTTGAGTTATTAGGTGTCATGTACTTTTCTGAGGACAACTATAGTGAACATTTGGTTTTCAGGTTGTCTGGTTAAAATGATTTTCTTTTGAGAGAAATCTTAATTGTGGTCAGTGGGTCTTGTCTGGATTCCTCCTGTAGGGTCCTGTAGGCGACAGGGCTGTCCTGGCACACTTGGCTCAGGTGAGTGAAGCATTTTGTAGGTGACATCTACTCTCCTTATCTGTCAAACAAAGATAGATGAGCAGGGACTTGGTTGCCGCGGGGAATGTTACCGCCTTGATTCTCCCATCAAGCTCTGTCAGGCTTTGTAACTTGAAGAAATGAAAGGAGGAGCAGGAGAGGGACAGTTTCTAAGGAGCTGTCAGCAGGGCCCCACCCGGGCTGGAAGCCTCCTTCTTTGTAGGTCTGCCTCAGCCCTGACTTTGTTCCAGTGCTATTAGGGTAAAATCCTTGAGTTTCTCTCAGAGAAAGAGAAGTGGCCTGGGGCTGAGAGGCACAGATTCATAAGTAATTTCTCTCATTATACACTTCCAGTGCTTAATTACCATTTCAAAGAGGAAGAGCCATCAGAGCAGACTTTGAGAATTTTGCCCTGGAAAGGATGCACGTCCCTCATACTATAGCTTAATCAGAATGCTTTTCTTAATTGCTTAAAATGGGGGAGACCTGGCTCTCAGCAAGGCTGAGTTGTAGGTGGCCTTCTGTTTTTCCAAGTGATTTTTAGGGGTGGAACAAGGGAGAATTTACAAAGTGCTAATGTAGAGGTCCTTCTAGAGGTGGGATCTGCCTGCATGGGTTAGTTGTCAGAGGAACCAGAGAGGTTGTTAGAGTTGATGCCAAGTATAACACTAGATGGGAGGGTATCTGGAGACGTCAGAGCAACACAATTCCAGTAATCCCAGAGTTAAGAAGTGACAGGCTTAATAATGAAAACCCCCGGTGCACTAGCAGTTTTTGTTTTGTGTAGGTATTATAGATTTGTTTTATTTTTGTCAGCCACTATATTATTTATTATAAAATTATGTAGTCAAGATTATAATATTAAAATAATAATTAGTTTAAATAGTTTATAATCCAGGATTACAGATGGTATGACAGCCAACAGCTTTGGAATGCGTTTTGGATAGTTACACAAGCAGTGTGTGGATACATTCTTGCTGTAAAATATTTAGAAGTTTACACAACAAAAAAGTCCCTTTCCCTTCCACTTCTTTTCCCAGAGGTAACAACTGTCAATAGTTTGATGACTACTCTTTATTCATCTTTCTATATATATGTATATGTGTGTGTGTGCATATATACACCCCCACACATATACATGTATATACTTATCTTTTCATATAAATGAGATTATATATCACATATTGGTATGTAACTTTTAAAAACTTAAATAGTATATATCTTGGAGATATTTTCATGGCAGTAGATATGTCTTCCTCATTCATTTTAACATTAGCACAGTATTGAATTATATGGAATCACTCCGATTGGTGGATATTAAATTTGCTTCCAATATGTTTGCTATTACAAACAATGCTGCAATGGGCCTCTGCACACATGCATCTTTGTACACATATTCTTGTAGGACAGATTCCTGGAGACAGAATTGCAAGATCAAGGGCAAAGCTCAAGCCATTTTTTTGTTCTGTTATCATTTCTACATTATTTATTGCACCATATGTCTAACTCTGTTCTTCTCTCAGTTCATCCCTATCAATGGTTCTCAACTCCAGCAATACATTAGATTTACCTGAGGAACTTTTAAAAATTACATATGGCCAAGCTGCACCCTAGACCCTATTGAATCAGAATCTTTGGGAAAGGGCTCAGGCTTTGGATTGTCAGAAAAAATCTGAAAATTCTAATGTACAGCAAAGATTCAGAATCATTGTTCTGTACATTAAATGAAACAGAACAGAACTCTAGAGCATTTTAAGATAGTACAACAATTATAGAAACTGAGTCAGCTAAATAGTCACCAATTGTCTACTCTGAAAACAGCTTTCTAGTTGACCAGGTGAAAATAAATTTGATGTTTAATAGTTGTATAACATTTTTCTCTCTTGAAAATGCTTTCCTTTTTACTTATTATTTTTTTAAATCTTAGGGCATTTTCAATTCAAAGCTGTGAGCAAGTTGGGCCAGGAATGACCTTATCTATTTTACAGTCTCAGAAGCTGATGGGGATAAAATGATGCTTCTTAATTTTAATGTGCTTAGAAAAATCTGGGGATCTTCTTAAAGTGCAGATGCTGACTTAGTAGCCCTAGGGTGGGGCCTGAAATTTTGTACTTCTAACAAGCACATAGGAGATGCTGATGCTGCTGGTCTGAAGACCATGCTCTGATTAGTAAGCACCTGGATAAAAGGTAGTGAGCTAAATACAATGAAGAACCCAATCAGGTGGAAGAAACTGGGTGTCATAGGGGGTGCATCCTGAATATGGCACTAGAAGGATTCTAAGTCTATTGGCTGTCATACCATCTGTAATTCTAGAGCTTGCCCAATACTGTTTGTCTCTGACTACAACCTGATGGAAGCTAATGGGCCTTTCATGCCTCAGTTACAGCCCAATCCTCCCACGGGGAACCAGAGGGCCCAACTCTGAACTTCACTTGTCTCTGCCACCATTTACTCTCTTGGGTCAATGGTCTTCCAGAGGAGACTTTGCAACCCAGTACTGGCTCTCATGTCCATCAGACATGAAAGAGACGCTGCAAAACTCTTGGCTTTATCTACTTACCCTCTATGACAGCGCTGTCTTCTTTGCACAGTTCCTGTCTCTAGTTCCCCTCTCGGCCTTTGGAGATTCTTGTCCTATGTAGGATAAGAATAATAAATATATAAATAAATATATCTGATTTTCTCATCTTTTGATACTTGTTTCTTTCTTTAACTTAATAAAAATCTGTTACTCTCAGAGTAAATTTCTTACTTGCTTCATGTTTCGCAACTGAATCACAAAGATAAAAATACTTGTATCTTACTAATGGAAAATAGACTTTTAAAAATGATGTTTTTGTGTTTTTATCTTTTAGAACAAAAGGGCTAGAAGCAATAAAATAATAAAGTAAAAGCATTATTTTTAATGGGCTGTTTTCTCTTGAAAACATTGGCTATCAATGTGGATTCCAGAAATTGAAGCTTAATATGTGCAAGCTGTACGATTTAAGAGGTGCTACTGGTGTAGGAGTTAGAAGTGGAATGCTATCCATGCTGGAGGGAACATTCTAAGGGGGAAAGAACTGGCCTTCACTAGATTAATTCCCCCTAATACCTTCTTTCATGTATCTTTTCCATGAAGGTATGTAGCACTTACCATGGCTGTAATTTTAATAATTTTGTTTATTCAATGTTCACATTGTCTTCCCCATTAAACCAGAGAAATCATGAGGGTAAGGACTTTGTCTTTTTGTTCACCATGTTATCCTTAACCTCTAGTACAATGCCTGGCACATAGTAGATTGTCAATAAATACTGCAAATGAATGAATGAACTAAGGTTAAAACTAAAATTAGAACTAAAAAATAACTCTCAAGAAGTCTACAAAGCTTAGCTTACAGAAGAAAGATTCCTGATTGGAAAAGTTGGAGATCCCTTGCTTTAGTCATGTGGAAGATTAAAACTTATATACAATACCTTACCCATCAATAATTTTGACATTGTTTTGTATTTCCCTGTAAGCCCTTATGTTTCTTCCACTTCTAGAGCAGGATGTCACTCTGTTCAGAACTTGGAACTGTTGTATGGAAATTAATATGATGTTAGAACGCAAATACAGTGACTTCATCACAGGAACAAGGAACTCCCATGGCCTTTTTAAAAAACACAATTAATGAACTAATAATACATTTTAAATGTTTTTAAAAGGGAAGTTGTGGGATTGATTTTCAGGTATGATTTAATATAAAATATTCTGAGCTCTCTGGAATAAAAGTGCAATATTAAAATGGTAAATTCTCACTTGTTCATTCAATAATTTTTTGTCACACCAGAAGCAACATGGCACAGTGGAGCAGGGACCACTGTTGTCTAGCTGTGCCATCTTGGGCAACTTGCTCAATTGCTTTTGCCTCAATTGCCTCATCTATTAAGTGGGATAAGAAGACCATGTACTCCCCCTGCTATTGTAATTTGAATGATTTCGTGTTTGTAAAACACTTATAAGAGTACCCAGCATATAATAAGCACTATATACTTGGTTTTAAATAAACAAACTCCTATAATGTAGCAGCAGGTATTAAGCACCAACAAGCCCCCGGAAAGTAGTGAACTACTTAATACTTGCTATGCACCAAGTGTTAATATTTAGGCAGTTTTGCATCAATTTTTATGATAACCCTGATGGAGATATCATCCTCATTCATTTCCTCAGCCAGTATTTATTGAGTGCCTACTAGATGTCAGGAGCTGTTCTGGGGTACAGTGTCTTGGAATTTATATATTTTTAAAAGTCACTAATTTATTATCAAGTGATTTGCAATAGCTCCCTCAATTTTCAGGTCTGCTCTAAACTGTAGCACGCTACATTATTCTTTATCAAAACAGTTTCTCGTAACTGCTGAGCCTTTAAACTGCTAAATCTGTAGTGCTTTGAAGAACTACATTTCCCTTGTTTTACTTAATTATCATTGTTAGATTATCTTAATTTTGTATTCTTGTGAAGTCTCTTTCATATCTGTTATTTTTTCAATAAAAACTTGATTTTTAGGTTATAAATAACACATTTGTTGGAAAGTATGTCACTATTATTTTTCTATTAAAATAATGCTGTAATGCATAACTGTACACCTCTATACCTATCTATTTCTGCAAACTTGTATAAATTTCTTTAGGATAAACCCCTAAGTGGGAAGTTGGTTGGTAAAATGGTATATGTACTTTAATTTTGACTGATATTACCAAAATGCACTCTGAAAAGGTTTTATCAATTGATACACCAACAGTGCATGAAAGTGCCATTTCCCTTGCACTCTCAACACTATTTTATCAATATTTTTAAGTTTTTGTCAGTCTGATGGACAAAGATGGATAAATTAATGTGGTTTCAATTTAATAATGAAGATGACTTTTAGTATGTTTATTGGCCATTTGTATTTATTCTTTCCTGATTAATTTCTTCATATCCTTAGATTTCTCTATCAATACAATGAAGCTCTGAATATATAATAGATGTGTCTGATAAGTATGCTGTAAATATTTTTTCCAAGTCCTGATATTTTTACTTATGGTGTCTATCAGCATACAAAGTCAATTTTTTTCTTTATGGCTTTTGAGATTGTGTCATGATTGGGGAAGTCTGTTCTACCCTAGTACTGTTTCAAAAATCTCCTTTATTTTCCCTATTTTGTTTGTAGTTTAAAATATTTAAATCTTAAATCCATCTAGAGTTTATTTTTAGGCTTCATGCAAAGGAGAAAACCAAAAATTTTATCCCAAATAAACTGAACATAATTGACAACCACAACATTAGATGAAGATCTGTGCTTAAAAAGGTAGATTGTTTCTAAAAGCACGTATTGTGAGTTAAATATGGTCATACTATCCTGAGAGAGTTCCAGAAGCACATATATCTATAGCTAAAGCAGAGTCTTCTTCTGGGACAATTTCATTTCATATACCACCTCTAGTCCTCACAATACCAGCTAAATAAAAATGCTACTGTTACAGCAATAATAATGAAAAAGAGTACTTATCTTCAGTAATTAACAAAAGTCAGATATTCTGAACATCAAATAACTGAGAAGTGAGTTTATATTTTAATGTGATCGTCTTCTTCATATAAATGGTTAATTATATGCTAGACATGAATAATTCATTGAAAGCACTTTATAGAGGCACCCTCTTTTCTGGCATATATTCCCAGGTTTATAGAAAATGGCTGATTTACAGGTTAGAGAGAGACTAGGGCAGAACCTCTATGAGAGGGGGAAGAATTTAGAACATAGTGAAAATCTTTGATGACCTTGTTTCAAACACCCCTAGCTATAGAGTGAAAGTCCTGTATCTTTTTCTTGTTTGTGCCCAATCAATAAAGAAGTGCTTTGGAAACAGTGATGTGGAAGATAGTTATTAAGAATTATTTGTGGATGAAAAAGTTCTAGAGATCTGTTGCACAACAACATTCATATAGTTAACACCACTTACTATACACTTTACAATAGTTATGACGGCAAATTTTATGTTATAATTTTTGCCATAATTAAATTTAAAAAGTTAATTCTGCATGGGAGTTAATGTTTTTAATCAATCAACAAATATTTGAGTACCTATTCTGTATGAAACATCTTGTTGTGCAGGATATCAGGAAGTATAATTGATGGTTTCAGTTCTCAAGGAGCAAACAATCAAGTTGGAGGGAAAAGTTACATACACATGGAAATGAACACTCTCAGGCAATATAATGATACTAAATGAGAGGAAGAAACACAAAGTCTTATAGTTTAGAAAAGGCAGGCATCTCTTTGAGCTACAGTGATAGAAATATGTTAGCCACTTATATGGCTTTTAAAGCATTTTAATATATGTGTGTGTGTGTGTGTGTGTGTGTGTGTGTATATATATATTTCAAATTGACCCTTTTACTAGATCTAGGAGTCATTATCTATGTTTAGCAGATGAGAGAACAAAAGCTCAGAGGTTGTAATTTTTCCAAGTTCACAAGGCAGAGCTGGGAACAAGATTCAATGTCTTCCAGCTCTTACTCCTAGTGGGATTTATTTAAATTGGCACTGAAGATGTGCTGCCAAAAAAGTTTTGAGGGTTAGAGCAGAATCCAAATGTACTAGGGATACTGTGGTTATGTATTTGCTAGAATTAGGATTATTCTCTCCTCTCTGTCATCTTGCCCAAGAGCATCATTTAACTTTTAGGAGAAAATAACAGATTTGTTCTTGCTACTTACTGGATAAAGAAATCATACTACAGTAGAATGAGGACTGGCATACAAAGCTTCAGTTTCACCTCTATATACACACAGCCATTCAGTCAAGTGCAATCCCATGAAAGACATTCTACCCATCATGTCTAACACTATTCTTTAGTCATAATACATGTGATATCACAAAGAAGGTCTGATCTGACTCAGGAATGACAGAGAGGAAAACTAACACAGACAGCACAATAGTCAATGAATTATAATTTAAAAGCAGTTATCAGGGCTCAGACCATATGAGTTTCACACATTTTAAAAACACATCCTGCTAGTTCAGTAGATTGACTTCTACCCAGAAAGCGCAGAAACATCAGGTCTGTTCATACAATAACCCTATCTGATTGTCTAGGGTCACGCTGCTGTTTATCTTTGCCAGACAGAACCCATATCCTGAACCTAAAACTTTCTGTTTTCTACCAGTTACTTCAAGGCTATACAGGTGCTGACCTTCTTTCTACATAATCACCTAAACAATAAGAAAAATGCTTTTGGCCCTGGCCTAGTAGGTCATTTGGTTATAGCATCGTCCTGATATGCCAATGTTGCAAGTTTGATCATCATATACAGGAATCAACCAATGAATATGTAAATAAGTGGAACAACAAATTCTCTCTCCCCCCCCCCGCTCTCCTTCTCTCTTCCCTTCCCTCTCTCTCAAATCAATAAGTCAATAAATTAAAAAGAAAAATACTTTTTTAAATGTATTAGGTAAAAGTAAACACACAGACACAATGATCAAGAGCTTTGCTTTTATTTTCCCTCATGAGCACTCAATACAGGTTAGGGCAAAAGTAGGTTTACAGTTGTGTGTACTTGAAACACAGTTTACTCCTCTATTATTTATTAATTGTATTATTTTTCAAAGAATAACTGTAAACCTACTTTTGCCCTACCCTGTATTTTGCAAAAGAAGGGCAGTGCTGCCCTCTACCGTTGGATGTTGAAATGTTAACAATATACTTCTGTTTCCCTGCTATGTGGAATAGATTAAGACAACCTATTACAGCATATTGTTTTAGTCTAAAATAAACGTATTCTTGGCAAACACACTGAATTTGTTTCCTTCATTATCTCTTCATCTACTTGCATCTTGTACCAAAGCGTAGGACTTTAGGATATGACTCAATAAAAAAGGGACATCATAACTTGGGGGAAAATGCTTAACATATTGCTCTAGAAGTAAGGGGCTGTATTTGTGATGCATTTAGGGAGAAACAGGACAGGGAGAGGAAATTTTCTTCTGACTTTAATTAAGGTCTGTAGCTTTGCAGTTCTTCTGTCATTTGAGTGTCTTCATTTGCTTTGTTAAGTCAAGCCAGTGCCCTTGTTTCAACTGGACATAATGACAGTCACCTGGGGATGCTGAGAGACTTAGAGGAACAGTGTTTCTAAAACACTTTCTACTCTTCAAAAAAGATAATACAGAAATACAAAGAATTGCTTCATTTAAATTATTAAATATGTTGTCTTATTACCTTTAAATTGCTTTGAGATTTTTACTGCTCGCTACAAAGACTTCTTGGAGAACTCTAAATATTTTTTAAATTGTTTTCTGCTTTCTTTTTCATTTTTTAAAAATTTCAGAATATATGCCTACAAGAGGCCAGAGCAGAAAGACTTCAAAGACAGTTAGCCTAATCATTATCCTACCACTATTCAGGGGCTAAAGTGTATCTCTATGGCAATAATAATTTCTACAACTGTGTTAAAGGTGTGTATTGACACTATGCAAAAATCTTTTTGTCTCAATTACAGTTAAGAATTTAAAATTCAGACAGACTAGTAACAGGCAAAACAAGAATCTGATTAGAGGTGCAAAGCCTGTGAATTGTTCTGTTAGGCAGCTCATCATTCAATGAACAAAGTAAATACATCTCGAAGGCAGGTGCCACCCTTTGGGATCTTGGGCTTGACCTCCTTGGGCTTGATGAGAGCATTGATAGCCTTGGCACGTGCACTCATTGTCTTCCTCATCGTCTTTGTGTTGTTGGCCTGCATCTTCTTCAGGCCCTTCTTGTGCTTCTTGGCGAAGCACGTTCCTCAGGAACTTGGGGTCTACCCCCTCAAGAGATACGTATCTTTGTGATTGGAGTTTCTTGATGCAGTTTCTGTGTCATTTTCTGGACTAGTTGTGCGTGGTGTGGTTCTTGGAGTTGGTCATATCTGCACCGAAGCCCACAGTTCCCGAAGTGCCTGGGACCAGAAGCTACAGCTTTGGTTTTTAAAGAAATATTCACTCAGCATACAACTCAGCTGCTAAATAATACCCTATTCTTAGTGACAGCATACATCCAAATACAGCAGTTCCAAACCACTTTGCAATTGAATGCAAAGTGTGAAATACTTCTTCCTCCCCTGACTTGTTCCTAAATTTACACATTCTGGGTATCAGGAGCAAGACTAAACACAATAAGCAAGTGTGGGTTTGCTTAGAGATCCATGCAGTGCCCACTGCCACCCTGGCCTGCCAGGCCTGCCTCTTATGCTAGGTGGCAGCGCTGCTCAGCCCTGAAGGCTTCAGATTTCCAAGAGAGTATATTCTAAAGGGATTCATTCCAGAAGCTGTTCCCAATTCCTCCCTTATAATTTTGAAGAAACTAGAAAAGAAAAAAAGGCAGAGAGAGGACAGTAGGAAGGATGCTTAAATGCTTAAACAGATAGTTTTTAGTCTTTTGACTCTTATTGCCCTTTCCCTGGACACTCACTTTACCTGGCTGTTTACTTGTCTGGGCCGTGTTTGCCTCTCAAGAGTCTTTTGCTTGAATTATCCATTCAGCAGCCAGGTAGTGTTGCATCAATTCTAAGTCAAAGTGTTAAAATTAGCAATGGCCTGGAAAGCATTTTGTTTATTTCAAGACTGGCATTTTACTTAGAGGGCAGCCTACAGGGCTCAAGACAGAAGGTCTGAACTTAAAGTATTATCTCCAAGAACCTCATATTCCCAAGGAAACGTTTGAGATTTGGATCCCACATATGTTGCCCCCCACCCCAGCCCATCCAGTAACTATTTCCCCTTCCCTAAAACTCAAAACAGATATCCTAGAGACATGAGGAAAACTGCATGCATATGGCACTTTCTTTGCCCCATCAGCACTGACTTAGTTATGGAGCTGCTTAGGTTGTCAATAAATATTTATTTGGACGTAGCTAAGTTGATAGTGTTTAGCTAACCTAGGGTTGTTTTTCCCCCAGTGAATGACGTAAGGAGTGACCATGATATTGTTGGCCAATGCTGTGAAGATCATATCTCTAAATCAAACCCTGGGGAGGCTGGGTTATAAAACACCCCTCTCAGCAGTGGCCTTCTGCCTGTACTTTTGGAAGCACTGAAAGTTCATTGTCATTTCACCTTTAAACTTGCAATCTTAGAGGGAAGTGTTGTTAATGAAATACTGTGGGCAGTTACCTTTAAAACCAGAGGGAACATTTCTGAAAAGAAGCAGGCGATCAAAGGTTGGCAGGTGTTGCTCAACGTCCTTTTGGCTTGTTCATGACTTTGAATGGAAAATTCATTTGTCGTATTACCCAACAAAGAGAGGCTGAGGTGTTGTTTTCTTCTGACACACCAAGAGAGCTGACTCATCCTTCCACCATTTACTGACTACTTACTAAGTTCAAGAAACTGAAGGAGACTTACAGGGTAAGATCTCTAGCCAAAAGCAGCTTACCATCTACAAGGGGTGTGGCAGATGAGCAATGATAACAAAAACTAGCATTCAGGGAGTGCTTACTAGATGCAAAAAAAAACACACTTTAAATGTATGAACTCACACAATCCCCACAACCCTGAGGAAAATACTATTATCTCCACTTTCCCGAGCAGGAACATAGAGGTCAAGTCACTTGACTAAACCTGCCCAAGTTAGTAAGTGGCAGAGTCAGAATCTAAAGTAGGACATAGGTTCTGAACTAGGGCATTTTCTAAAATGGTAATATTGTTAACAAGGTTCAGCAGCAAAGGAAAGAGAGGCGGATTTTGACCGGAGTGAGCGTTAAGGGGAGACTTTATGGAGGAGGCATTTACTCTGGGTCTTGAAGGTCACCAGGTGGAGGGGCGGGGCCGGGGAGGAGGAATATTCCGGGGGAAGGCACAGCCTGACTGAAAGAAGAGGCAGTCTGGGTGCCTGCCAGCTGAGGACGGCAAGGCCCGGTCGAGTACGTCCGTGGGAGGAAACCTGGGGAGGGAGGCCGCGCCCAGATCCCCAAGGTCCTTGAGGACCAGGCCCTCTGCTTAGTACAAGGGGAACAACAATCTCAAACTGGAAGAGCGGCAGAAAGGAATTCCCGGTCTCTCTCTCACTAATGTCCCCAGTCTGAGAACAAGGCGGGCGGCCCACCCACTTTTCCCTCAGGAGCTAACGGTCAAGGTCACCTGCGCTCGGCGTAGCGTCCCGAGCGCAGACCTGGGGACTTGGCTACCAGTTCGGGCCGGGCCGGGCCAGGCCTGGCCGGCTCAGGAACGTGCGCGCTGCGGGGCAGGCAGCGAGAACACCTGCTCCGCCGGTACCGGAAGGCGCGTCCTCCGTAATTCCCGCCGGCCACCGCTCCTTAGCCTGGTGCCCCTCGAAGGTCGCCGAGGCAGCCTCCCGGACACTCTGGCAGCTCGGCTCCTCCCCTCGGTCCCGGGACGCCCCGGGAACAATGGCCTCAGCGATAGGGGCACGCTCTGCCAATCAACCATGCGCCACGCCCCCGTCTCGGCCGCAGGACATTGCATTGGTTGTATCATTCCTCCGATACGATTCTCTTCTTGGATTGGCTAATAATATCTCCTCCCGCGTGTCCCATGTGCGTCAGCAGCTCGCGATTGGTTAACGGCGTTGCCAAGCTCCGGACGCGTCTCGACCATTGGAGGCTGCGGGCCCGCCCCGCCGGCTAGTTGAAGGTGAGAGTCTCCTCCAGCCGGCGCGACTGATCCGCACGGAGCGGCGCAAGACTCCAGGTGGAAGCTCGCCGGCGACTCCAGCTCTCTCGCTATGGCGCCTCCGTCAGTGTTTGCTGAGGTTCCGCAGGCCCAGCCGGTCCTTGTCTTTAAGCTCACTGCCGACTTCCGGGAGGATCCGGACCCCCGCAAGGTCAACCTGGGAGTGGGAGGTAAAGATGCAGCGCCCTGAGCGTGAGCTGCGGGAGAGCGGAGCGGGCCTACCTCGGGCGCGGGGCTGGGGGAGAGGCCGAGGCCAGCTCCGCACTGGTGTGGGGCCCGAAGAGGGGGCAAGGTCCTCAGGCTTAGCTTAACCTGCTCTTTTTACAGATGGGTATATGAGTCTTGAAAAGGGAGTTGTGTCCAAGGTCACACAGAACGTGTGTAGCAGCCAGGACAAAATCTCAGTTCTTCCAGTCCCCCGTTCTGTGTCCTTTATGCTACGTCCTTAACTTCATGAGAAATGAGCGGCCAGAGATTGTGAGCAGAGGAAGATAGGAAGCCTGATAGGCTTGGAGCCCTGCTGATGGGAATAGATAAGGGAGAACTCTGCCCTCCGGAGCTCTGTTCTGAGTTGGCGAATGACAGATGTCAATCAGGTGCTCGACCAAGCCTTGTGTGTGCGGGAAGACAGGCTTGGTTTTGGCCTCAGTCAGGAGGTGTTAAGTGAGATAATAGAGGTGGAACGTGCTTCTGTGGCAGGTTAATGCTCCCTGGGGGTACCTGGGAAGAAAGTTCTGGCCTTTGGATGTGGTAGGAATAAGTAGAGATGCTGGAAAGGAGTGGAAAGACTGTGGACATTAGAAACTCATTTTCTACACACCCTTGCCTTCCTTTCTTGCTTGTATTTCTTGGACCTTGGACAGTTCAGAGCATGGGCCTCAGTTTTCTTCTTCTGCCAAGAAAAAGATTTGGATTTAAGTGCCTTGAAATTCCTTTAACTCTAATCTTCTGTGGTGAAATTTTTATTTCTATCATCATCATTTGGATGTTTGAAACTCCACAGACACTTTCTGGACCACATACAGAGAGACCAGCCAGGAAGAGGAAAATGTATAGGGTGATGTTCTGTGCTAGGAAACAGACTTAGACTAAAAGGACTAAAACTTTTGAAATGAGAAAGTTGAACTGTTTTGTAGCAAAGGATGGCAGGAAGGAAGTTCAGAATCAGGTTTCCCACTGTGACTGTGTTTGTGCATAGGACCTGTTAAAAAGACTTCACCAAGGATTATGGAGGAGGGGTGAGGAAAAACACCTTTCAAAAGTGATGGTTTGTTGAAGCTGGGAAATGGGTACATATGCATTCATTATATTATTATTCCAATCTTGTATATGTGTGAAATTTTTCATAGTAAAACATTTTAAAATCAGTACTACATCGCTTCACCCACAGAGAGAAAGTGATATTTTTAGCAGGTGGCAGAGTTGGAGAAACATTGAAAGATTGCCTTGAATTGAATTGGAGTGGGTACCATTCAAGCTCTTTATCTAAATCTAATCCAAAACTTCCGAGTATTTCTTAGGGCCAGATATATAGTGAAGAACTAATATTGATGTTGATCTAAATATATCTTTTTTAAACCTCAGATTTCATTGGCTCAGTTACCTTTGAACTGTCTTACAGGGTTTTTATGAGGATTAAGTACATGTAAAGTGCTCAGAACAGTTTCTGGCACATAAGTAGNCATGAGAAATGAGCGGCCAGAGATTGTGAGCAGAGGAAGATAGGAAGCCTCACAGGAGAATTAAGGGCTCTATGCTCTGTTTCCTGGAANGAGCCCTGCTGATGGGAATAGATAAGGGAGAACTCTGCCCTCCGGAGCTCTGTTCTGAGTTGGCGAATGACAGATGTCAATCAGGTGCTCGACCAAGCCTTGTGTGTGCGGGAAGACAGGCTTGGTTTTGGCCTCAGTCAGGAGGTGTTAAGTGAGATAATAGAGGTGGAACGTGCTTCTGTGGCAGGTTAATGCTCCCTGGGGGTACCTGGGAAGAAAGTTCTGGCCTTTGGATGTGGTAGGAATAAGTAGAGATGCTGGAAAGGAGTGGAAAGACTGTGGACATTAGAAACTCATTTTCTACACACCCTTGCCTTCCTTTCTTGCTTGTATTTCTTGGACCTTGGACAGTTCAGAGCATGGGCCTCAGTTTTCTTCTTCTGCCAAGAAAAAGATTTGGATTTAAGTGCCTTGAAATTCCTTTAACTCTAATCTTCTGTGGTGAAATTTTTATTTCTATCATCATCATTTGGATGTTTGAAACTCCACAGACACTTTCTGGACCACATACAGAGAGACCAGCCAGGAAGAGGAAAATGTATAGGGTGATGTTCTGTGCTAGGAAACAGACTTAGACTAAAAGGACTAAAACTTTTGAAATGAGAAAGTTGAACTGTTTTGTAGCAAAGGATGGCAGGAAGGAAGTTCAGAATCAGGTTTCCCACTGTGACTGTGTTTGTGCATAGGACCTGTTAAAAAGACTTCACCAAGGATTATGGAGGAGGGGTGAGGAAAAACACCTTTCAAAAGTGATGGTTTGTTGAAGCTGGGAAATGGGTACATATGCATTCATTATATTATTATTCCAATCTTGTATATGTGTGAAATTTTTCATAGTAAAACATTTTAAAATCAGTACTACATCGCTTCACCCACAGAGAGAAAGTGATATTTTTAGCAGGTGGCAGAGTTGGAGAAACATTGAAAGATTGCCTTGAATTGAATTGGAGTGGGTACCATTCAAGCTCTTTATCTAAATCTAATCCAAAACTTCCGAGTATTTCTTAGGGCCAGATATATAGTGAAGAACTAATATTGATGTTGATCTAAATATATCTTTTTTAAACCTCAGATTTCATTGGCTCAGTTACCTTTGAACTGTCTTACAGGGTTTTTATGAGGATTAAGTACATGTAAAGTGCTCAGAACAGTTTCTGGCACATAAGTAGGAGTTATGTAAGGATTAGCTATTGCTATTACTGTTGTTTTGGCATTTCTTTGGGTGAATCACATAAAAGATGTTGAATAATAATATTCAGTTCAAGAGCTGCAAAGTGAAAGTTTCTGACATTGGTTCAGAAGTAAAGTGTTTGTACAGAGAAAAAGCCCAATGGTGGTTAGCCAGCTCAAGTTCTAGTGATGTTGGACATGTTTAGAATAACTTGCAACCATAATCTCATTATCTAGTTGCTATTTGCAGGTCATTTCTCCAGAGAGTTTCTTCTTGCTATGACTATTTGCGTAATTTCCTTATAGTCAGAGCAGAGCATCACGTTTTCCACTGTTAAGTATGATGCTCTCTGAGTTGACTGTTTTAGTGCATGTCAACATTTCAGACAAATGCCTTTAAAGGCTGGGGAGACGTGGGTGTAGCCTGATGCAGCCTGAAGCAAGACATTTCTTCATAGACCCCAGTCCGTTTATCATGTAAACTTAACTTTCTTTTGTTCCAAACTGTGCTTACTTTAATATTTGTTGTTGTTTTTAACGTGGGTTCTGGCATCTTCAGATACAATTGTTGGAGAAATGTGCTACATCAGGTGTTTCTGTGTACCCCTGGCCCTCTCCCCAGAACTCTAGTTGGAGAAGGGCCTTAGAGGCATATCTGCATGGGCTCTTGAGTGGGCATGGGTGAGGGAAGTGGAAATCTTAGGAGGAGAGGGTAGTGGTTTCATAATTTAATCCTCTGCCTTGTTCCTTTTCTTCTGGAAAACAAAACTTCGAGACTCACCTGAAACCTGTGTGCCTCCTCTAAAAGGGCTTATACCCAGGGAGAAGGGCAGTGGTGCATGAAGGTGGGAGCATGCTGATAATAAGGCTGCTCACACAGTCCTCTGGGACCTGCTTGCTTTGGGCTTTTTCTAGACATCACTTACTCTTAAAAAAGGCCCATAGATCCATGAATTTAATAGTATGATAGCCTAGCTCTTACAGTCCTTGTGATCTTGGGCAAATTATTTAACTCTCTGGTCTCAGTGTCTAGATCCCTAAAGTAGGGATCACAATATCTATTTTGTGAGTTGTTATCAGAATCGAGAGTAAAAAAAATGTAAAGCATTTAGCACAGTCCTTTGTATGTTCTAAGTATTCAGTAGGTACTTGTTCTTATAATGGCTTTGGCTA